AGCCTCAGCTATACTGGAAAAAACTACATGCAAAATACATGTTGCAGCATGTTGGAATGGTATCACATTAAACCAAGGTGGCACACAGTAAAAATTATGCACGCTTATGATCAGTTTTTTAGCAACGTCAGTGAGATCACGTTGGTGTATCATAGTGGAACTTTTTGAGAGGATTCCAAAATGTGGATTCTGTTCATCCAGATGTAGTAACTTAGTCTCAGACTCCTCCTAGACTGCAGAAAGAACTTGCACGAGTAAAGAAACATTTTCCCCACCGAATATGCAACGTCCAGGGGTGTTTAAAGATATCTATTTAAGTACAGGCATGTGGGGAAATTGGCTTCTTCATAAAAATGTAACTAAATAAAATAGACATTTCTCCACTGCATTCTTGTCTTGGAAGGATCCTTTAAAACTACACGAGTGGCACATTTACCTTCAGAAAGTGACCCCCCTGCTGATTTGTTGGAAAGGCTGGAAGACTTCCGCCGAAACCTGAAAATAAAAATCAAATGGCACTCCAGGACACTCAGACACGGACTACTGCAGCCATGTTATCTGACACATCAACCATTTGCCAATCAAATGTGTCTATTTTCTGTTATCTAAGAAGTTGCTATTGTGAATTCTATTATGCAAACACAGTCAAACTGGTACTATGGTCACATGGGAGCCATAAAAGTACATGCAGCTCTTAAAATTTGCCTCTGTGGCTCGTTGAATGTGGAGGAATAGTTCACTGCATCCAAACTGAGGATTGGGGGCTGTTACCATCGTTAACCTTTGTAAGACAGAGTCAGGGGACAACAATCTCGACATCCTGACCTCTGACAGACCTCCTGGGCACTCTTCATGGTATTTCCTGCATTGGTGATGTCATCCTGCTGGAAAGTCATCATTGCCTGCATTTCCAACACTGTGGCGTAGATAAGAGCATGGTACATGCTCTCATTCACTCTACATAAAAAACACAGAGTTGCAGGATCAACATCACACACCTCAGGCTGTAAGCAAACATGCAGGTACTGTATGACCTCTGCATTTCCCTGCTGTGCAAAGATAAGAGTAAATATCTGGCTCTTTTTATTCTTCCTATCTTCCACCATCCCAGCCCGTCTTGTGCACAGTGTTTATTTTGCAGGCCTAACAGTCTGTCCGCTGTTGAATCAGTCAGACCTTGGGCGTCAGCTTCGGCAAACACTTCATATCCTGGAGAACTGAAGCCTGACAGGAAGGCCACTGCTTCACGCTTCACACCATATAAGTCTCTAAATATCACCAGAGGCTAAAATACTGCTGACATCACACTGAAAATGTGCACGCTGTGAAACGAAGCAGGCACACCACAAGCGCATACAGCCTGCATCGTAAGAGTGAGATGAAACCTGACGATGGATTGTTGTGTCACCTCGGTCGCAGCTTCTCCAGGCTCTCGTTGAAGTGGTTGTTAAGGAAGAGATCCAACGCCTCCATGCAGTCATCCAAACACTCTTTCAGGGTCATCTCAGAGGACCTGTTGCACACACACACACACACACACACACACACACACACGGCTGTGACTCAGGGTAAAACAAGCAGTATTAGCATGAGATAATAGACCAGATCTATTCAGGCTCAGCGAACATGCCTCCCAGTGAAAGCTGACATCCGCGTTTACATGCAGCCTTGTTTACTTTGTGAAATTTGCCTAAAGACTCGTTGTTTAATAAGATCGCAGCAAGTGGGACAAAATATTAGATTAAAAACGTACGGAAGCCGAATTGAGTTTTTGTTTTTAACTTGTAGTTTGCAGTAACACTCTCCGTTTCACTACGTGAAAGAATGCGACACTACACAAGTCTCCTTCCTGGTGCAGCACACACTTTTTAAAAACATTAAAAAACCTGCTCATTCACGTTTCCCTGCTACAGACAAAGGCGAATAATCACATTTATAGATCTGCTCAGGTGACTTTTCACCATTTGCCGGGCGATATGTCACCGCTGAAGTGGACAGACCCACACATAAACACTCTGTGGGAAACAACTCCAACTTTTGACGTGTCCTTGACTTTTCACTCGCCTCCCGTACTCACTTTTCCGCGGCGTTTGTCTCTCTCCCATTGGACATGTTCGCTCTCCGGGCGGCGCGCCTCCCAACACCTGTTCGGAGTTCAGCGGCACTCGCAGAAAATCGGGACGCATTCAGCTCTCACACCGCGACACCAAGCTTTCAGCTCTCGCGCTTCTTCGCGTTGGCGTAAAAGCTGCCAGTTAAGCTACCGAGGCTTTGCTGTCAGTTAAAGTTGAGCAGAAATAAGAACATGCACTCCTCTGTGCTGATCCAACAGCCCGAGACTGCGCATTGCGCAACAGAAGCGCAGCTCCTCCGCCTACCTCTGTGCCACGCAGACACTACACCGTAACGCTGATCAGTGTCAGGTGCTCGCAGCTCTTAAAGATCCATCTTAGTCTTGACTAAGAAGTTCAACAGTGAATGGCGCCATTTCCCCTTTGTCTTCTTCTCCTCTCAAAAGTGAAAATGTTGAGTACATCCTTCTTTGCGCCATTGCTGCGTCTGATGCCATATGGACGCGATGATGGGCAAATATGATGAGGTGACAGAAAAGGGAATATTAATTCGCTGTTAATCAGAATTTAAAGGCAAATTATTTTGTTGCTGCTTCGTCTCTGGTGCCTTAATAAGGAAGAGATGAGTGTACTGTAAAATTCACGCGTGTGTAATTCCACGGAATCGCGAATAGGGGTCAGTGTTGTAGTTATACCTCATGAGGAGACACAGATACCAGAAGTGGTTCATCATCTAGTAATCTAAATGTTTTTATTTATTTTAACAGTTATTCCAAAATCTTGTTCATACAGCCCCTCTCACACTTTGCATCCCTGCTATGAACTGCTGGTACGATATCAGTGCACTTGTTTGACAAACAAAGACAAGCAGGGTGAGATTGTGGGTAAAGGGTGGGGCGGAGATAGAAAAATGAATGACTTGTTGCAGTTTTGTATTTTCTAATTCGTTTTATTTTTTATTTTTTCAATTTTAGTTTGACTTTTTGTTTTAGTTTCAGGTGTACCGAGTAGGTTTGTTTGTTTCTGTTTAATGTTTTACTGTTTCAAAATGTTTCGTTTTTATTATTTCACTTTTAGTCTCGTCAAGTATTACTGCACTGCAAGATGTAGGAAAATCCGCACAAGTATTTCAATGAAAACACTGAACTTTTTGGAAATGGACTCACAGTCTTGTAGACATCCGAGGCCCCAAGAAGCGTGTGCATCAAAGCAATTACAGCCATGTCCATTTTCACAATTCCTGTTATATATGTGCAGGGAGGCTACTTTGTCAGTCGATGCATTTCAAAAGGATTTGCTATAAACTCCCTGCCCCAGTCTACGATCATGCAAAGAGCTTATATACATGGTCTCCC